TTGTTGAAGGAATATTTCCGATGATACAACAAAATTTTCCGCGTTTTTACGGAATATTTTTCGCACCAAATCAATCTATAAATTGCCATTTCCGTCGCGAGCACGATTCGCAAAATTCGGGGAATCGACATTAAACGGCGGCAGAGATTTTGATTTTATTCCAAATTTAATCCTCCCAGGAGCATTTTGACTGTTGTACTAATTAATAATAAAGTCCCGAAAGAGAGCATAAACGTCTTTTATGACCGATAGTTTCGACGTGATACGATATTACTAATGGCGGATTATACATATAATATCATGTAATAAACCGGTCCGCGCGCATATTTTTTCCGTAAATCGAGAAACAACATTAAGTTGCAACAACTTATCGTTATCGATTCATGAATGCTGTTATCAATGAGACACGTGGGTAATGTATCCGAAGCGGCTTATCGTGATTGCTTATTATATACAGTTAGAAAATTCGTTTTCTTATTAAAAAATATGCCGGTTAAAATTTTTGTGTTAAATATTTAACACATTCATGTGTTAATTTAATATATTGCTGTTGTGTTAATTTAACTCAAATGTTAAATTATTAAAATAATTGAAGAAAAGTATAAAAATAACACAATGTGCATATATTTTTAATTTTGCACAATAAATATGTTCCGTATTATTAATGACAGGATTTATTTGTTAAAATTTACAGAAAAAAAATGTTGATTTTATTCTACAATAGGAGTGAGAGTGATAGACCGTTTGAGACATGCAATATATATTAAACTTAAGTAAAATTTTCCAACACTGTACAGAGTCGTATTTGCGAAAATCGTAAATTTCGAGGCTTTTTTCCGTCCACGCGGATCCGTATTGTGTCAATCGTCTATGACAGGAGACGGAATCTCTTAAACGGCAATGAGCTAAACACAATGGCATTGCGATACTCGTCGAATTTAATTTAAAGGCAGCGAGTCCATTGTACGCGCGAGAATGTATAAATAGACGCGAAGCCCACGCACCGCAGCTTTATATGCTACCGAAGATCTTGTCGTGAGACAAATTTACATTTACGGTTACAGGTATCCCCGTGAAAAGACTATTGAAATTGTTTCAATTTTCCCCTCTCCTCCCCCCCCCTCTCCCCGAAGCGGCGTCTTATGTAAACTCCCTTTCTGGGCGGGGTACAATTCACATCACAGAGCGAATCTGTTTGCATCGCCAAAAAAATTCCGCTCATTCAAATAACTTTTTTGCGAATGTGTTGACGGCTACCCTTTATATACATATAATTAAATTAAACTATTATAATCTTTTAAAATTCAAGATGCTTTTTTTAATTTTTTATAAAATTGAAGCAAGTGTATTCTAAAAATATGACGTATAAACGATATAGTGAAGGAAGCGAAACTTTAAAATTGGGAATTTAATATTTTCTTTAAGAGAAAGTTTTACGTAAACAAAATATTTTGTGGAAATATAATTTAAAAAAAAAGAAGTACTTTAAAAACAAAATTTAGAAATAAAGAATAAAAATAAGCTTGTTTTCCGTAATCAGATTTCTGTAATTTGCAATACAGAATGAATTCATTTATGTCACACACAAAAATTACGCTTATACAAATAATTTATTTACAAACGTATGAATAGCGCTAAAAAATTAAACAATAAATAAAACTATTGTATAATCTTCGAATATTTAAAATATTTTTGTTTAATTTTTTATAAATGAAAAGAGTTTATGTCAAAAGTACATATAAACGATATAATGAAGGAAACAAAGCTTGGGAATCTAATATTTTTTTAAAAGAAAATTTTACGTGAAAAATATTTTGTGGAGATATAATTTTTAAAATAAAGACACTCTCTGTGAACAAGATTTACAAAGAAGGAATAAAGGGGAAATAAGTTGAGGGAAGATAAAAGACTGCGAACATTTCTTATTGACTTTCTACCTTTCGATTTATGGAATTGTAACAATGCGCCATTTAATCGCGGATCATGGAAGACGCCGGTTGGTAGGAAATCACTGCGACAGAGGTATTTAATGACCGGTACTCCAGCGACGGTATTGTCGTTCGGTGCCCGTTTTATTGCCCCGTTTGCGCCAGTCCAGAACCGAGGTGAAGACATTGTTCGAACGTCTGGGAATCTCTCATGATTGTCGCGATCTCTATATTCTCGTAATAGCCGCCGTATTCAAATACTGATCTGCCAACGCTTGTATACATTTCTCCGGTTTGTTGAGCAACGTAAAAAAAAAAGAGAGATAGGAGGTTATAATGTCGTTCGTGTAATATTGCTTGACACTGCAACATTCTATTCGGTTTTGCAAGCATTAAATTGAAGTGAAAAGCGTGCCGGGTGTGTTGTCATCTATAGCTTTCTGTTAAATTACATATTTGGCTCTATATATGATTTGATTCGCTTCTTTATGCATGAAATAATATATATGTGATTCTACTCCGTTCGAAGAAAAAAAAAACTTATAGGTAAAAATATAATATAATAGCTTTTTTATATTATTATTATTATTTTTTAAATGTCAAATTATATTATTACTAGTATTTTTTTTTTATTTTGCTACCCATAATTATATATTTATTTCTGTATTGCAAAAAAATCTTAAGATCATAAGTTATTTATTTATTTTTTTAAAATGTTATCTGTAAACAAGCATAGTTAGTTTAATATTAAAGATGGAATAATACGGCTGATTTTATTCGACAGAGCCAATTTCGAAATACTTGACCCAATCAAAATATCTCAAAATATAATTTATTATTCATAAGCCTTCTTTTTTCGAGTAGTTTCACATATATGCTCACACACACCCACATATATATAGATATATATGTATAATGATATAAAACTGTTGATAAACCAAAGAGAATTTCCAACAATTCGTATATAAATGCGAACGACCATTTCAATTTTTTTATTTTCGCTTCCTTAAATTTTTGTACTCGCGCGATTTATCGATGTACCTAAAGGAGTTCCGGGACGCGTATCATCTACAATTATTTCCACGTGAGATTTGCGTCCGACGTAATTTGCAATTTATCGCATGCGGACGGTCGATGGGTGCGTCGAGACCGATTCTAACAAATTGCCGATAGCGAGACAGAGATGGATCGGGCGAAAACAGCGAGAGAAGGAAATAATGCGACGAGAGAACCTCTCGGCCTCATCGGTTTCACGGTGTTGTTGTTAACGACGGCGACAAAAATCATGACGTCCCGACTTACCTGTTATCAATTAACTGTTAAATCGTCGTCGATTTACGGTAGCGTGTCTATTGCATGCGCCGTCGACGCAAGTTGTACTCGATGAATAATGCATCGTTGATATCTTGTTTATTCGAGCATTCTGTGACCCACATCTCTCTTTATTCTTATGGAGAGTATTATAGAAATTTGACTGATCAGTTTTAACTCATCGATAAATAATAATTCAATTTTTCTGATTTTTCATGTAGTTATAAATGTTTACGTGTCAATTAATTAATATAATATATTTTAAATCCATTCCTTACACGGTCTATAATCCGCGAAAAAAATTCTAGGAAGAATTCTATTTAAAATTTTAGATGTTATCTTAACGAGTGTATCATGAGTATATTATATACATATATGTGTATTTTTGCTTCAAATGTATACTTTCTGCATTGCATGTAAAATTCTAAATAGGATTCTTATCCCGAATTTTGTCGCAAATTATAAACTTGTTTAAATTTTGGAAGAATTCAGTTTAAATTTGCATTTCAGGCACGTTTATGCAAATGAAACTTAATGTATGAATTTGCGAATAATTCAGTGACACACAGCATAGTCACTTTTGTATTTATATCATGTTAATGCAACATGTAGTATTTTCATTGTTTTAATACAAACATATTTATATCAAGGTCTTTTGCTTGTCTCGTGCATCGGGCAGTCTCACGTGTTCTCGAATGGGCGCAGTCGAGGCGTACGCCTGGAGGCACGTAAATTTATGAACGAGGAAACAGCAGAAACGCGGCGGAGCTGCGAACGTAGCTTTTGCAACGTCTGCTTTCCGGCAGAACGAATCGTGATGTAAGGATGAGCGTGGGCGACTTTGCTTTTGCTCGGGAGAGATCGCAAGCGCAGCTTTGAAACTGGTTTTGAACGAGTTTAGATATTCGATGTACATTTTCAATTTGCAACGATTATATAATCTTTAAATTTGATTTAAGTTTAGTAAGGCAAAGGTTTCGGGTTGTGTCAAAGGTTCAATACTAGTTGAAGCCAAAAATTTTTTTTAATACTCCTTTCAATCTTTTTATATAATTTTAAAATTAAAATTTAACTTTTATTGAATATAAATTTACATATGAAAAACATTATCCGTTTATTAGTTTGTTTATCTTTATTACTATCATTGCCGTAATGTGGCTATGACAACATCTTTACGGCAAAATAGTTGTGCAGCCAAATGGCTATAACAACGTCTTTATAGCAAAATAGTTGTGCAGCCAAATGGCTATAACAACGTCTTTATAGCAAAATAGTTGTGCAGCCAAATGGCTATAACAACGTCTTTATAGCAAAATAGTTGTGCAGCCAAATGGCTATAACAACGTCTTTATAGCAAAATAGTTGTGCAGCCAAATGGCTATAACAACGTCTTTATAGCAAAATAGTTGTGCAGCCAAATGGTTATGACAACGTCTTTATAGCAAAATAATTGCGCAGCCAAATGGCTATGACAACGTCTTTACAGCAAAATAGTTATGCAGCCAAATGGCTGTGACATCGTTTTCAAAGCCTAAAAATGTTGTCCCACTTTTGCTGTCACAACTTTATCAGAACGTCACAATGACGTTGTGGCAGTAGCTGTGGTAGACAAAAATGCTGCAGTTTAAGTTGCGACAACGTTATCGCAGACGTTTTAAAGCTTTATGTGCTACTTGGGATAAATATCCAGAAGCGCCGCTTGGGATATCGTGAAGAAACCGGGAAAAAAAGAGAAAGAGAGTGAATCGTAAATTGTTTTACCTTTTATACGTCATTTCACGATCATGATGCCGAAGATCGTAGCACTTCTGTTGGTTCGTGACACTTTTCCATTTTTGCGCTGCTCACAACGCGGGTCCGAGATAGAGATAGAGATAAGGAGGAAAAAAGAGAGAGAAAGAGAGAAAGAGTCAAACAACACTGAGGGAGAAGAAGAATGAAAGCAGACGACAGGGATGATGACGGAAGACCACTCGTTTGGCAACAACACACTATCCTCACACTCGAGATCACTCTTCCTTTCCTCCTTCTTCCTTGGCCCTTCCACGTGCACGAGTGCTCCAAGTCGGCCCCTCTACAAGGATATGGGATATTGAAACGTCCGCACGAACATTCCGCCAACTTTCAGATCGTTCCTCAATGATACATCCAATCGGAAGATCTTCGTTTCTGCTACACTTGGCGCGACCACGTGCTCGGATAACGGTGTCTCGATCGTTCCCGTTCAGGCACATACACGAGCGCCTACTGTCCCTTTTTCAATACCACACACATCACACACCTTGTAGACAACTTGTCGTTTCGCGAGGGAGATAACTCTGTTTTTATTCTTTCTGACTAGAAGTCCCTCGATCGGCGCGCTAAACAATGATCGACCAAACTTCACCCAAACAGTTCTCTCGCGCAGCGAGAATCCGAGGGATTCACGGCACCGCCGATCTCGATGCGAATCCGATATATTGGTGTCGCGCGTCGACAGGACGTGGGGTCCTGACCTGTCAACGTTTCTCTTTCTCTCTTTCTTCAGGAGCGACGGAAGGAGCTAACCACCGTTGCTCACCACCGTCCGGCGATCGTTTGGCGCCCGTGCTCCGTTGTCCAGGTCCTCTCTCGCGAGGCGTGTGATATCCTCTCCCCTCTCACTCGCCTTCCCGTCGCGGGACGAAGCGGAATATCAGCAAGAGCAGCTCTCGCGGAGGAGATTCGTGAGACGCGACGAGAGCGGAGTGGTCCCCATGGCACGGTGGTGAGTAAGTCGTGTGTAAAGCGGGGCGATGCCGCTTGGTACGCACACAGATATACACGGACACGTGGATACGTATACCGTCGCGGGTACTGTCGATTGGGCGGGGAGACTGAATCTGTAGGCTGACGGGTAGGTTAGTAAGTAGGTAGGTAGGTAGGTAGGTAGGTAGGTAGATAGGTAGGTAGGTAGGTAGGTAGGTAGGTAGGTAGGTAGGTAGGTAGGTAGGTAGGTAGGTAGGTAGGTAGGTAGGTAGGTAGGTAGGTAGGTAGGTAGGTAGGTAGGTAGGTAGGTAGGTAGGTAGGTAGGTAGGTAGGTAGGTAGGTAGGTAGGTAGGTAGGTAGGTAGGTAGGTAGGTAGGTAGGTAGGTAGGTAGGTAGGTAGGTAGGTAGGTAGGTAGGTGAGCCACACACACAGGGAAAAAATACACCGAGAAGACGTACCGGTGTATATGAATGTATCGGATCATACGGTGTGGCCGCGTGATGCGGGATGGTATGAGTGCTTGCTGCGATTTGTCTGTATGCGTGGTAACTGTCTGCGTATATATGTGTTGGTAAGCGTGAGCTGCAGAGGATAGCGAAGGAGAGCTCCCCTGCGTGTTAACCGTGAGAGACGTCGGTAAAGTAAGATAAGTGCTCTCCTCTCTTTCAGCCACAAAGTAGCACCACGCCGGGCACGCGACCTGCCCTCCTCCCTCCTTCTGCATCCCCCCTCTCTTTTGCTCTCTTCTACGCGCTCCTATTAATGTTCCTTTTCCTACTCCTCGTTGTCGAAGGACGTTTCTCCCTCTAACCAACGATTCTTCCTCTCCGCTAGGTTCCTCCGGTGCTCTTCTTGACTGTCCTTCCCACTCTCCATGCGGGAACCCCGGAGCGGAGGTGGATGGTGTTGGTGCACCACTCCCACCCGATGGTCACCGACACACCGGAATCCTCCCAGTCAAGTCGACGCGCTGTCGCGGAAGCGAGAAACAGAGAGAGAGGGAGAGTGATGGAGGGGGAAAAGGGACGGGAGATGAGGAGAATATCGAACAGTCACTATCTCTTCTCTATCGTTACTCGCAGCGTAACCTCCCAAGCAACTAATTCATCTTTGCAACTGTATCGAGACTCTGGCCGCTCCGTCGTCCACGAGTACATTCGTTCCTTCTTCGGTTCCTCCTTCATCTCTTTCTTCTTCTTCTTCTTCGTTTGCGTGTTTGGAACGTTCAGGACAATTTACAAGAGGCTCAAAGAAAAGAGAAGATACATACAAAAACAAGATTAAATAATAAATAATTCAGTTTCCCCTACAAGAGATTTCAATTTTTTTTTTTTTTTTTTTATTAGTATTAAAATATGTTTTAAATAATATAATTTTTGCGACAAAATTTGAGATAAAATATTATTTAGAACGTTAAATGTCGTGCAATACACAGAGATCATTTAAAGAAGTAAAAAAATACACACATTATTAAACTTTTCTCCTGAACTCCGTCGCGATTTGTAGATCACTTAAATATATAAAAGACTTCAAAAAAATAATTCATATAAATTTACATTATAATAAAACTTGAATTAATGTCGATGACAACTTTTGTCATAACTTCATATATTTTACATTCATCAATTATATATTTCTTCGCTTGAATTTTATTCAAATGATATTGAAGGATCAAATTTAGACAGATTTTAATTTGCAAAATATTTACTATTAATGCAATTAATGAACGGCGAGCTACTGTTAAATTTTCGTTGAGATAAAATTGGCATCGAATTCATTGAAGAGCCTCTGAAAAGATATTCGAGATTCTCTCTTTCGATATCGTGTAACAATTGTGACTTTCGAGTTACATATGTACCTTCGGTTACGTAGCTCGCTTAGTTATCCGTCGATTTCTTCCTACTCAATCCGATCCGTTTCGATTTCGATATTGACGCAATTGTGTACCCACCAAGAGAGTGGGTCAATGTACTCATCATTGTCAAAGATCGAAACCGTTTCCCGCCAGCGTTCATGATCATGATATCCCTTCTGTTTCGCCTCCCAGCCGCGCTAATTTACCTCTGCATCTGTATTGTCCCATCCCCACCCATGAGATACTCTGCTCCGGTTTCTCTCCACGATGACGATCCGGTTGTCCTAGGACCGGACCAGCTTGTTGTTACCGTTTTGTGCTCTGTTGGCAGTTTAAACGCCTTTCAACGTTCTCTCTCTCTCTCTCTCTCTCTCTCTCTCTCTCTCTCTTTCTCTGGTCGGTCTTGTAACTATGTCTTTACCATGTGACGATGGAAAGAAAATACTTTTGTGATTGCCTAATTAATTTTTTACTAATTCATATCACTCTACTTTCTTATCTTAGACTAATATTTGAAATTACTGCGATTTGTAGATATAATAAAGTTGATTAGTTTCCAAATATTTGAATCAATATATGTATACGTGGTTTATTATTGTTTAATATATATAGTGGATATCAAAAATATGTAAAGAAATATTGAAAATTTTAATTTTACGAGATTGATCTTTTCTATCCTTGAGTAAGACAGATATCGATCACGCGATTTTCCGCGGATTACTCATCTTTGCGACGGCGTATTTAGCGGAAACTTTATCCAAGTCGCGAGAGTTTCTGGGTCAATCTCTCTAGTTAGCTTCTTAGCTTCAGATTACCCGGCGAAATCTAAGCATGGCGAGTAAATCGAGGAGGTGAGGCATATACGCCCCGCGAGACCTTAGATCATCATCGGAACCTCGTGAATCTCCTCGCCTTGTTACGTAACCGTCTCGATAATCACCGACGGTCCTGACACAGTTACCCAGTCACGGTCCAGGATTAAGAGAAGAATAAAAAAACCGATGATAATAATAATAATAAAAAGACAGACGAAGAGCAGGAGAAACACGAATCGCTCTCGCGCGAGAAGAGAGGCCCTTCCCCGGTTTCACGGTTTGATGACTTTTTTTGTCGTGTCGGATAAAAAGGCGCGCTCTCTGATCCCTCCCTCTCTCTCGCCGCGGCTCTTCTCTGATAAATGTGTGTCGTGTTGTATTTCGATTTGGAAATTCTGGCCTTCAGGCTCCGGCACGCGGCCGCCGTCATATCGTTGACGTTAAAAAAACCATCGCGAGCGGCGCCTTCGGGCGGCCGTTACAATATCCGATGACGCTCCGGAACAACGGAATTGCCAACAAAGGATCTCTTTACTAAAGAGATTCTGCGTAGTCATAAAATTACGTCGCGTTCTCATATATATATCAAAAAATAAATACATAATCATTTATCAGAATCTCTCGTGAATCATCGCACACGCATTGCTGAGATTCTCTTTATCTCTCTCTCCTTCTTTGCATTCAAAATCAAGACCCGACGTTGCTCAACGAGAGATCTCTGAGAGTGCCGGATCAACGATGACAGTTCGCTGTAAGTGTCGGTGTCACTTCAGGGTCGTCGATCGTGATATTTGAGGTTTATGGAGGCGGCTCAGGAATTCGCGACCGACGATCGCGACGGATTCTCTCTTTCCTCCCTCCCTTCCTTCCCTCTGTTCGCTTCGCGCATTCTATTCTCATACGACGACACGCGGGGTTGACACGCGTGTATACACGCGGGCACGTCCGCCGCGGAACCCGTCATTAGACGCCTACGCGGACGGAGCGTGTCTGTTCGGCGGCGAGGACGGCACGACACGATGTCGCTGATGGTGTCATTGTGTCGACAAAGCGGGCCGCACGCGGAATTGCGTCGCCCTGGTAAGAACATCGTTGACAATGGCGTGCGCGCGCGCGCACTCGCGCACCGGAAGCCTCGTTCACCGTCGCGTCGCCTGGTGAAAGTCAAATCATCCTAAACGCTCCCCTTTCAGAGATTAGAGCCGAGGATTGTCCCGGGGATCCGCCTGGGTAGAGATCGCTTTAACTCAGTGCCTCTTGTTACAACTGACACTCGGAGAATATTCTCGAGACGCGATTTTGCACTCCCATTTTCGACCTCGATTATCTCTCATATTTATAGATCCTAAAAGATTTCGCGTGCATCAGGCTTGATTTATGTATAGAATATAATTGAGTTTCTCTATTTTGTATTTCAAAATAGGCACTGAACGAATAGTTTTCATTTCGAAATTTTTAAATTTTTTTCAAGAGGCATTTTC